CCGCCCACTAGGGCCAGGGGAGCCCCGGGGACACGTGGCCCTGCACGGGGCGGGGCGCTCCCCCAGCCCGCGGCTCCACTCGCGCCTGGCGCTTTCCCGCAGCTTGGCCGAGCACGGGCTCCTCGCGGGCCGGGCTGCCCCCTTCCGACGACAATGGGGCTTAAGGCAACCGCCTCCAATTGGCCCGGCCCTGGAGCGATGCCCGGCGGTTTTCTCCTCTGGGAAGCCCAGTGATTTGCAATCTAAGAGCCTCAGGTTTTAAAGGCTGCGTTGCAGAACGAGAGGGGCCAGATCCTGGCCTCAGTGGCCGAGCACGGGCTCCTCGCGGGCCGGGCTGCCCCCTTCCGACGACAATGGGGCTTAAGGCAACCGCCTCCAATTGGCCCGGCCCTGGAGCGATGCCCGGCGGTTTTCTCCTCTGGGAAGCCCAGTGATTTGCAATCTAAGAGCCTCAGGTTTTAAAGGCTGCGTTGCAGAACGAGAGGGGCCAGATCCTGGCCTCAGCTGGGAACATGCCCAGAGGAAGGGTGAGCCCCTCTTGCATTGTCCTTTCCTCACTGGGTCTGCACAGCGCATGCTAGAGCAGTGCCAGACACCATCACCCACAGACAGGGTAGCTAAGGCCCTTCCACCAATATTTCCTCTAATCTTTTCCATCCATGGTTACCTAGGGAAGTAGTGGAGTCTCCATCCCTAGAGGCTTGACAAAGCCCTGGCCGGGTTGATGTAGTTGGAATTGGTCCTGCCTAGGGCAGGGGGCTGGACTTGATGACCTTCTGAGGTCTCTTCCAGCTCTATGATTCTATGGGTGTATTTTTTTCCATCTGTATGTGGAATAAATTATGTGCACCAAGGCATGTGCAAATATGCACAACCAGGAGAAGTACAACGCTGTGAGTACTCTATCAGCTGCGCAGCATTGGAATTTCTCCTCAGCAGAGGCCCAAGTGCACAGCTGCCTTCTGCCATACATGGCCTGTGCTAATTGATTCCTTTCTACAGTAATTGATTTTTTCTTTATAGTTTGGGGTGCGCTGGAGGAATACGCTGCCATCCTAAAATAGGCCAGAATAGTTGCAGAGCTTTTCTATCTGCCCTACAGCTCACTGCCTTCAAAAGGGAAGGTAAATATCTTCATAGTTAAAGTAGGTAGGGATGGGGGAGGGGCGTCCTATTCCTTGCTGTATGACTTTAGACAAGAGTCACTGATCTTTTACCATGGAAATGCAGGCACCCACAGAATCAGCTACAGGAGAGCAGATAGGAATAGATTCCAGCTGCACTTTGCAAGGGCTTAGCTACCAAAGGAGAAAACATACAGCCCACACTAAGTAAGGCCTGACACACCCAGGCTTAGCTAGTCCAAGAAGCAAGCAGCCTCATCATGTAAACCTGTTCCCCTAAGGCATCCTTAGTCTGTACTTTTAAAGAAAGGAGATTCTAGGATTGCATATAAAGTGAGATTAATATTGGAGCAAAGTAGGGTTGCTAGATGGTTTCACAAAAAATACCAAACCTCCCCCCGCCCCCAAAACGCCAGGAAAAAATTCCGTCAGGCGCCCAAGACAGGCTTCGGGAAAAATAGAAAATACAGGCAGTCCCCGAGTTACGCGGATCCGACTTATGTCGGATCCGCAGTTACGAACGGGGCCCTCTCCCTGGTCTCCAGCAGACCAGGGAGAGGAAGCAAAGCGGCGGAGCACGCAGGCAGCGGACAGCCCAGACGCGTCTTTGCTTCCTCTCCCTGGTCTGCTGGAGACTAGGGAGATGGGCCCCATTCGTAACTGCGGATCTGTTGGATCCGCATAACTCGGGGACTGCCTGTATTTCGGAATAACTATTCCAGAATAGCTTGTTCCAAAATAAGTGTGCAGTGTAGACGTAGTCTTACAAGCCACAGAATCTCTCCCAGTCACTCCTGGAATAGATCTATAGCCTCTGGCTGAGTTCTCAAACAGTGATTTAAAGACAGAAAGTCCACCATTTATTCTAATTTAAACCAGCAAATGACTCCTGCCCATGCTGCAACAGAAGATGAAAACTCCACCCCCCAGAGGAATATTTCTTTAACAATGAACAGATGTTGAGCAACTGGAATAGTATTTAACCTTCATTTATTTCCTCTGGTGCAGTGGAAACTACAACTAAGATCTACCAACTCACAAAACCAGGTTACCCTGTCTCACAGTGGTCACGGGCAGCTATCTTTTTATTTTTTTTAAACCACCAAAGTGTAGACTGGTCTCCAAACTTTTTACACCCAAGATGGCTTTTTAAGCCAAGATCTACCCCATCCTTTCCTGGAGACTCTGCCCCACCATTCCCCTTCTCTCCATCACTGCCTGTCCCCAGCCCTTACTCACGCTCACTGAGTTGAAACAGGAGGTGCGGGCTCTGGGGTGGGAATGAGGGATTTGGGTGTGGGAAGGGGTGAGAGGTGCAAGCTCTGGGAGGGAATTTGGGAGCAGGAGGTGGGGGAGAAGATGATGTTGACTTAGGGAGGGGGCTCCAGGCTGGAGAGTGTTGGGGTCAAATGAAGGGTTGGAGTGCTGAGGGTGCAGGAGTTTGGGTTGGGCTGTATGAGGGGCTCAGGGCAGGGGCATTGGGAGTATGATGGCTCAGGTCACAGATTTGTTAGATGTCCAATATTTTATGAATATTTTTACCAGATGGAAGGCACAAATACCGGGCTGTCTGGTTAAATACCAGACACCTGGCAATCAAAGAAAAGTGATGTGCAGTTAGGAATGAAACCTGGAGATAGAGTCCCTGTACAGCAGCCATTCATAAATCCAGATGCTGTCTGGCACAGCTTGCCTTGGGAGTAGTGAAAGACTAGCACCTACATTTAGTGAGGACAA